GTCGTATTTTTTACCACGTAAAACTTCCAACACCACAAAATTATCATAATTTCGTCGGAACAATTCGTCATAAATTTGATGGAAATATTTCTAACGCAAATACGACAAATTATTTTTTAACACAAAATCGATGTATCATTACATTGAATTTACAATGATTACGTGATAAATTTGTTTTGTCAAAATCAATTAATATTATTAAAAAGCGACGTAATTTTGTCGTAAATTATCGATGGGAATTCGTCGTAAAAGGATTCGACGTTAATTCATCGTAAATATTCTAACGTAAAATCGACAAATACAAAATATAAAATATATATATTACGTCGATTTTATGTCGTATATAAAATATATATATTAATGAAAATTTGATTTTTAACTAATAAATTAATATTAAATAAATCAAAGTTATAATTAAAAAATAAATTCGAAAATAATTAATATATTAAAATACAAATTCAAATACAATTTTTTTTAGAAATTAAAATAAATCTACAAGGTGATATTAAAATACTCGAAGTTGAGATCAACGTCCCGAGAAAGCTCTCCGTTATGTCCGCCGGAAGTCGCTGTACCATCGTTTTCCGTCTGAACAACGGGAGCCGAAGTCTGACCCTGAGTCTGCTGATAAGAAGATCCATTGGAAGAAGCCCCCACTGCCAATTTTAATATTTTTTGCTAATGATGATAGTTATGACTTACCAAAGTTGGAATTGATTCTGTTGCTTTCGTCTAGTGCCATCATTTCCGGTCAAATTTTTTTTGAAACTCAATCCCACTCTTCTCTCTCTCCTTTTTTGTATGAAAATCAATCCCACTTGGTAAGTCAATGGTTGTGATTTGTGAACTTATAACTTAGTCTCGAGCGTGAGTCTTTTCACTTAAAAGTTCTCGTAACTAATAAATTAGTAACCAATCTTAGCTCAGTTGGTAGAGCGAAAGACTGTAATGGGTTCTCTCTAAGAAATCTTTATGTCGCCGGTTCGATTCCGGCAAGACTTTTTAACTAACAATTTTACCCTTTTTCATACTAGATTCCACTGTACAAACTTTTTGCTCTTATCTCGTGTGGTATCAAACTCAGAAGACATTAGACAAAACAATTATATCGAGAAAGGCGTTTTTAGGTGCATTGGTGGAGCCATTGATAAATTTACTTCATCTGTGAACACAAAACAAACCTATACACATAGAGAAAGACGCATACGAGGTACACTTGCTTGATTTCAGTTTTCTATAGAATGATTGAAAAACGTAAAGAGAACGAGAACTAATTTTGGCTCTTTTTTCTTGTAGAACGTCAAACTCTCAAAAGGATTCTAGTTTCATCACAATGATGAAGCATTTTCCGTTCAACATAAGAAGAAGAAAAAGGGTTCTAATTCTACAAAATACAGAGATAAGAAGACAACAACCAACAACCAAAAGAATCAATTCTATCACCTTTGTCCTCACCAAGGTTTCAGATCAGCAACCGGTCCTGCCGTCCAGTTCAACAGCTTCTCACCTGGTCTCAGATACACATTCCTCTCATGTGGAAGCTTACGAGCCAACCCATTCAACAGTTGATGAAACGCATTCCCTGGTTGCGGGAACAGCATCGCCTGTTTCATCGATGGGTTAGCCAACAGCCTCTGTTTTCTCAGTATAACCTCTGGTGGGATCGATGTCAGTATTGTGTCCAGGTAAGGAACATCCTTCTCATCGACAAACACACCAATATCTTCCCAAGGGATCGCATGTTGTCTGCTATGATCACAGGGATGCAACCGAAGATCACGGCTTCCACCAGTCTTGGACTCCATGAGGCCCATCCAAGTGGGCATAAGCAGAAGATTGCTCTCTGCATGTCCTCATAATATGTCGCCGGGTGCTCTGTTGAGATGTCGAACAGTGGATTGTCCTTGAAGTTTTCCCACACAGCTGCTCGTGCGCCCATGTGCCCATTTTGACAAACAAAATATCATCACTGATTATATTTGAGCAATTCAGGGATGGTAATAGGTCTATGAATCTTCATTGCATGGCTAAGCATTCAGATCAAATTACCTCGAACCACCCTCGGGGTCATTTCCCACGTCATAAAACAATCCTCTGAAATAAACGAAGATGGATCGAGGAGTTTTCCCGGGACTGCATCTTCTGCGGTGGAGCATACCGAGGAACAGTGATTGAACCCTCTTTTAAGCAAACATGGTTCCTCTGTCCAAATGTCTGCACCTGTGTAGCCCGTTGAAGCAAGGGTAGTATTCCGCTTCCTATTGACTTCTCTTCCTGCCACAGTAGAACAAAAACAAGACATCAGTGTGTATTCTTTTAGTTTGCAGTATAGCTGGCAAGAACCTTTGGTAATCATGGCGGAAGGGATATATTACGGCTTAAGCCCAAATAAAAGCTTTTGTCACATCAAAAAGGGCTTTGCAAGTCAAGTCAATCGCCAATGTTAGAGAGGAACACTGAGTATTAAGATCTACTCAACACTAGCTTTAGTTGTACAGGGGAACATCATGAAACATGCACATAACTCAGCCCCAAAAAAATATTCCAAACACAAACAGTATTTTTTAACTGGTTTGTCTATGATTCAGTTAAAAATGTATGAAACAATGTTTTCTTCACAATTTGCAGAGCTAGAGATAATTTAGTGAGCACATTCAAACAGCAGCACACAATCATTCACAATGTGCATCAAGTTTTGTGCAGAAAGCATAGATGAAGCAGGGGCTAATTAGGGTAACAAAACAAGAGATTCAGAGCATATTATTTGGTTTACTTGATAAAGGAAGCAGGGTCCAAAGTCATGAGGCACAACAAAGAAGTGGCCAGCTCCTTCAGTGCGGTTCCAGTATGGCCAGTTGGAAGCAATGAGCTGAATGGCACTTCTCATCATTTCACAAGTGGTGTACACAGGGACGTCGAACCAATCAGCTTCCTCAGGATTAAGTGTTCGAACTGGACTGGACAAAAGAAACCGTTCAATATAGATCTCGCAGCAAACATGTGGGTGAGGCATCTCGGGTCCTTCTGAAGTATCTTCTTGTTGTATTTGCTTGGAAGCTCATAAACAAAGACTTTAAGTCTTCCCACGGGATCATCTTCCAACACATCACCAGCACTACCTACACATCAAGAAAACAAAAAAAAACCACAACACACACTTAAAGTTCACGTGAGTTTGATTCGAGCATCAAAACACTGATACCACTAAGGAAAGGCTATGGATAGATAAGTAAGAAAATCTACAGGAGATCAGAGATAATGCAAAATTAAAGTTAATGATCAAAATGACAAGATACTGGATCGGCTAACTGAGGCATGACTATTGTTTCTTGTTGGCCATCAACAATATACAAATCAATATGCATCCTGATTTACATTATCCCCATATTCAATTAGACTCCAAAACAATGCGTGAAATTGAAAATCAATCACAGAAAGACTTACACCAAAAGTAAACCCTAGTCCTCATTCGATTCGCTGATGACCACACAGCTCACTACTGCTAAATCCAAGTAAAAAATTGGTGTACATGGCATAGCCGCTGCGGAAGCAAGAAAAACTTCACGAATCTCCCTATGTTATCCCTACTACCAAACAAACTACTTGCAACATGATTACACAGAAAGTATAATGCAAAGAGATGTAGCACTACCAGTGCAAGAAGAAGTGGCTAACAAAGTTTGTCATCCTCCTTTCATTTGCAATCCTACTGGTAGGCCAAAGAAGACATGCATTAATAGTGCATTCGAGATCGCCATGGCGAACAAACGTCCAAGAGAGATGCCTAAATGCTCTAAATGTGATAAAAATGGACATAATCGCGTCACATGTAAAGTTTAAACTTTCTAACTTTAATTTTTTCAGTATTATCTTGTAATAACCGGTCTATTGGACTTGTACAACTTTCTGCATTTTTGTACTCTCTTCAAAGCACTTGTATCGACCTACTTTTTTTTATAGTTTTCGACCTAATTGATGCAAACTATTCCAATAATTAACCGTTTTAACGATAAATATACCAAACTTTCAAAGGACAAACATCATGCCAAAAAAACATGGTTCTTTGAAAGTGTAGTTCATCAACATGTCCTAAAACAATCTGCCATAGAAATCTACCGTTGTTAGAGTTCGACGTACAAAACAATAAAAGTTTACCTTCATCAGAGTTAGACATAACAAGTCTACCGTCATAACTGTTTGACATACAAAATAAGTCTACCCATAGACGAATATTAGATCCTAAAAAAGTCTACTTAGTCCCATCATTTTCATTTTTCCGAGTTTGTGTCAAGTCCGTACTTGCCGAGTTTGTGTTCGTGGACCTCACCGTACATCTCAGAAGCATACTTTAGACTCCATTAGTTGTGTGAAACCATGACAACCCCACGGATATCTCTCAAACGCTGCTTGATCCATCACTCTTTTCACAGCACACAACAGGAGTCTACTATTATGATGTATCGCCCCAACGCCAACAATCAAGATCCACAACAAAGCCACCATCTTCTTCTTCTCGTTGGTCCATGTGTGGCACCTCTTCAAGACATCAAATATCTCAAAATAATTTACGAACAAGTCTACCACTCTCTATACGAACATGTCTACCACTATCAATCATTTCCGATCAAGTCTACCAATTTCTATACGAACATGTCTACTACTCTTAATCATTTACGAACAAGTCTACCAATCTCTATACAAACATGTCTACCACTCTCAATTATTTATGAACAAGTCTACCAAACATAACTCTATCATTACTGAATAATTCTACTATTTCTTTAACATATTTCTATACTCAATCGTTTCAAAGACAAATCTAGCTCATTGTTAAGTTATGAATCTTTTTTTTCTAAAACTATATACAAATTTCTGAGTGTAGAATTTATCAACTATTTTTATTGTCTTAGAAATTAAAGTTTTATAAAACCCAAAAAAGCCCAATTTTTCGAAAGCCCAAAATATTACAAACCAGAAAACTTATATAACCGAACGAGAAAGTTAAATCAAACCATGGAAAAAATTGATTGTAAACCAACTAATACTACCAGATTATCGAGAGCCAATGATTGTTGATCCGAGCAGAACAAAGTCACGATGATGAAGAGAGCCGCTTAAGGTTAGTGGTAAATCACCCATCTCGAAAACCAGAAGATCTGAGGCAAGCAACGAATTGGTTTCTCTGATAAAGAGGTACAATGTCTCTCCGTTTCTCTTATTCATTTGATCTTCTTGGACACCATATCGATCCTTCCTCGGTTAGAATTTTGCTGATTTAGGAATGGATCTATGCCTTAGATACGTTTTCAGTAATTCATAGTCTTAAACGAATCACGTCAATAGATATCTGCTCGAATTCATATTATATATATTTTTTCCCACGACTTTCTGGCAATATGTGACAGTGAACATCAAGCGTATCTTTGGGTTTCGAATGAGGGCGGCTTGTGTTCTTTTGGCATTTTGCTTTTTTGTTTTTGGAGGAGGAGCTTCTAAATTGGCTTCCCCTAAGAATCCAGAGGAGGTAGTCCGATTCCCATTGAACAGGAAACCTAGGATTTTACTCCAGTTGGCCCCTCATGTTTCTCACAAGATTAAGCTAACTGTGACCGGAGGCACGTATATGAATCATCCTTTTTTGTTCCTTTGTTTGATAAAAATTACCACGATTAGGATATGAGATGTTAATCAACTGATGTTCCATATAGGTTGTGCAAACGCATCCGGTGACTACAAGTGGCTTAGCTCAGACGTGACGGTTGTGGCTGTGTCATCCTATGGGGTTATCCAGGCAAAGAGCCCTGGAATATCCACTGTCAAGGCTGTGTCGACTTGTGATCCTCTGAATTTTGATGAGGTGATTGATCATCATCCTTTTGCATCATTATGAATTGTCAATTACCGTTTATATATTTTTTGTTTGATAATAAATTACCATTACCATTTATATTTCTTGTTACATTATGTGTAGATTGTTGTAAAAGTTTTCGCAAGTCAGGATCTCTGCTATGACATGGATGGTATGGAGCCCATGGTGGACAATGACCAACCGGAGGCAAGCTATTTCTCCAAGCCAAAACATAAAACGAGGCAATGCCTTAACTTGATCGTCCTAGTATCATATCTCGCTCCTGTTACCATTTTTATATTATACAATGATTGTTTAAAAAAGCATAATAATCAGTACTCTAAAAAGCGGTACAGGCGATCGCTTAGGCGGCGATAGCCACAGACCTGACGATCATTTTCCCTAGTTCGTCATTAAACAGTGTTAGGCTCTCTTAAGCGGTCTTAGGTGGCCTGAAACGATTTCACGCGTTAATACACTCTCCTATGAAGTCGCTAATTGACCAGTAACTAATTTTCATTTTTGTTTGTTTAATTGTAGTTTTCAAATATCTAGTCTTATATATATATTATCTTATCTTATATATATACTAATAAAAGTTGAAGCTATCAGCTTCTCAAGGCGTCCACATAAGATTTAATAAATCAATTTAATTGATCCACATCAACATTCAAAATAAGAAAAGTTTATAAATTGTAATATTATTGCGTAAAAAAAGAAATTAAGGTGTCCACATAGAATTTAAAAATCAATTTTATTGATCTATATTAACATTCAAAACTAAAAAAATTTACAAATGGTAATATTATTGCTGGAAAAATAAATTAAAATTTCTTTTTATTAGTCCACCTCAACATTGAAAATTGAAAAATTTCAAAATACATTACCGAAAACCTCATTTGAATAAATTTAGAATACATTTTTTTTTTTTATTGATAAGTACTCGTACTCAAAAAAATTAAATTATATTTTTTTATTTATATATTTTTTTGAGTACGCGTTCTTTGGACCTGGTGTATCTTGTCTCTACCACGAATGATTTTCCTTGATTAACAATAATTGTTGTTTTTCCAATATCTGCCGGTTCGTTAATGTTATTTCTCCCGTATAGGAGAAATAAAGTCAACAAATGGTATACTATATGCATTTGTATCTTAGAACTGCTTATAACGACATATGCTGTTAGACCACCTTCAATCCTGAACCCAATGATAGGGTTCATCAGAATTTTTTATTAGTTTTTTTGACAAAATATTTTTGGATGAACTCTTTGGAAAAATTGGTGTCCAACCCTGAATCCCATCAAAGAGTTCTTTGGAATATTATAATAATTTTTTTTACAATCTTTTTTTCAAAAATCAAATTTAAACATTTAATTTATTATAATTTAAAAAAACTTCTTCATTACATATAATTAAAAACACATGAGAAAAAGATTAAAAAATGAGTTTTCTAGAAACAAAAAAAAAATTTGATACCCCTTAACATTTTTTTCTCTCTTCTTTCTGCTTCAACCAATGAAAATGCGGCACGTGACTGATAAATCTCTTGACGAGCTGCTGCTTCAGGTTCATCAGAAAGGACCGCTGTTTTCAATATTGGGCCTTTATTATTTATTTTAAACCGAAAATACATCATAAATCCACCGATGAACCCCAATTTACCCAGCGTTGGAGCTGCTCTTATAATTTTAAACTGGACGATCCATTAATTCAACTGTCCGAAGATTATAAAAGGATCAGTTTTTTTAATTATTACTGGAGCTAGGAATAGATGGACTTTCGATAGGAACGATTTTACTGATGGGATTTATTACTACTTTAGCGGCTTTTCTAGTTACTCGGGATTCCCTATTATTCCATTTCCTCATGTTAGCAATGTACAGCGGTCAAATAGGATCATTTTCTTCTCGGGATCTTTTACTTTTTTTCATCATGTGGGAATTAGAATTAATTCCTGTTGATCTACTTCTATCCATGTGGGGTGGAAAGAAACGTCTGTATTCAGCTACCAAATTTATTTTACACACCGCAGGAAGTTCTATTTTTTTTATTAATAGGAGTTTTAGGTATAAGTTTATATGGTTCGAACGAACCAACATTAAATTTAGAACTATTAGCTAATCAATCCTATCCTGTCACACTCGAAATACTATTTTATATTGGATTTTTTATTGCTTTTGCCGTTAAATTACCGATTATACTTTTACATACTTGGTTACCTGACACCCACTGGGAAGCGCATTACGGTACTTGTATGCTTCTCGCTGGAATTTTATTAAAAATGGGAGAAGCTATAGGCTTCTAAGGGTGTCCATATAGGATTTAAGAAATTAATTTAATTGGTCCACATCAACATTCAAAAATAAGGAATGTGACAAAAAAAACTTAAAAAAATTATTATAATTATATGACAAAAAAATTGGATGCTAATGTAAGAGTCTCTAAATATGTGTGTAGATATCTAATTTAAATTAAAAATTTCCTATTTTAATATTACTTATTTTATTTTTTATTATTAAGAAGAGCCTTTTTCCCCAATTATATATTTTTGGTTTCTGTAATTAATAACTTGAGGAATTTCATCACGTTAGTTTTCGTATTTGATTTCATATAAACCTAAGTTTGGATATCAATTATGTTTACTTTTTTTGGGTCAAATTAATTATGAATTTTAAATATAATTTATTTACTTTTATAATTTTAAAAACAATAATAGAATTTTGAAATTTTTCAATTTTCAATGTTGAGGTTGACTAATAAAAACAATTATTGGATCAATAAACTTTCTTAATTCTTTTTTCAGCAATAATATTACAATTTGTAAATTTTCCTTAATTTTGAATATTGATGTGGACCAATAAAATTGATTTTTCAAATCTTATGTGGACACCTTCATAATTTCTTTATTTACGCAATAATATTACAATTTGTAAATTTTTCTTATTTTTGAATGTTGATGTGGACCAATTAAAATGATTTCTTAAATCCTATGTGGATGCCTTGAGAAGCCTATAGCTTCAACTTTTATTAGTATAACACTAGATTTTGCGTCCACGCTACGCGTGGATATTTTGTTGATAAAAATTATATACAATCAATTATCTATTATGATATAAATTTTATATATTAGTGTTTTGATAATATAGTAAAAGTATTATGATGTTGATATAACAATTTTAATGTAAATTGTGATGTTTTCACGATTTTTTTAATCTATATATGTCATATTTCAAAAATGTGTTATTTTATCAAATACTTAGAAGTTAATATATTCAAACTGCCTAAAAATTTTACAAATTAATCAAATGCTACTTTTTAAACATAGTATTGACATGATGATAAAATATTCTACATTCACTTCTTTAAATCAAGAAGAAAAAATTGTTTTTTTCATCATTTTCACTTTTATTTCAATTATATATGTGTTATTTAAAAACTAAAATTAAAATTTCTTTAATTTCTTTATTCAACAATAATATTAGAAATTGTAAATTTTCCTTAATTTTGAATATTGATGTGGACCAATAGAATATTGTTTTTAAAATCCTATGTGGATGCCTTGAGAAGCTTATAACTTCAACTTTTATTAGTATAAGATTACAAAGAATATAATGAAAAAAGATATAAATAAAGCCACTACAAGAACAAACTTGACTAAACTATATGTTTAATTATTAGCTAAATTATAAAAATATGAAAGGAGATATAAACAAAGGCACTACAAGCCGCTTTAATATTGAAAAAGAAATCGTAAAATCTCCAAAGCTTGGCCACCAAATTTGATAAAAATGATAAATTTCAAGCAATCCGAGAAACATGTCAAGTGATTGATACTCGACACTTTTGAAAAACCAAACACTGAAAATAGAGAAAAGAACATAGCGGAGGAGACTGAGGTATCTGAGGAAATTTTTTTAAATGACATAACATCTGAATGGGTTTTAACAACCCAACATGAACCACAAAAGTAACAATTAGCTGACCAAACAACATCCGAATACATTCGGTAAGCCTTAAACAAAGAGGAGAGGTTAAAATCACTTGCCGCAACAGGCATTGTGTGAGATTTTCCAGTTTTAATTTCTAAATCTATTACTAATAAAAGTTAAAACTATATGTCTCTAAAAATGTCCATATATGATTTACAAGTTTAATTCTATTGGTCCACATCAATATTTAAAATTTAGGAAATTTTTAAATTTTAAAATTATATTGTTAACAAACAAATATATTTAAAGAAAAATAAAAGTTGAATAGGTTCAACTTTTTTTCGATATCGCATATCCCACGTGCAAAAAATTTGAAGGCAGACAACCTAACAAAAAGTACTCGAGTCTACCATCATGATATTATTTATGTAAACTCAGTACCACCGGTTTGGCTTGTCGAACCGCTCTAGATACTTAGGCTGTTAAAAAAAAAAGTTAAAGTTATATGCCTCTAAGGACATCCACATAAGATATAAAAGGTAAATTTTATTATTACACATCAATAGCTAAAATTAAAATTTTTTCTAAATTATAAAATTACATTATTAATACAAAATAATATAGGAAAAATTGTTAGTTAAAATTATTCTATACGGAGCCGAATATCCGGACTTTTCAAGGTATCCGGATCCGGCTCCGGATTTGACGGATAATCAATTTTACTATCTGGATCCGGATCCGAAAACTCCGGATATCCAAAAACCGAATATCCGGTTTGAACCGAATATCCGATTTGAACCGAATATTTACGGATATCCGACCGGAGATCCGGTTTCGTTGATTTTAAAAAAAAAATATTAAATTTTTAAAATTATAATGAGATAACATATATAATTAAAATATATCATCATAGCAAAAATTACAAATACCAAAAATTTAAAAGCATTCAAGTAGCATTCAAATAGCACAAAGTTTAAAAATTTACATAGCAAAAGAGAAAATAGTAATAGAGAAGTTAATTTATCTTCATATCCTTGTGTTATCTATTTTCATGTTCTTCTCTCACAATCTGAAATAGAAAATCATCATGCAATATAAATTTCAATCATGTGTAAAAGAGTTAAACCAAAAACAAATTTCGAACATAATTAAAAAATAAATAAATGCATATCCAAAAATTTCAAAGTTTTGAAAATCTTAATAAACGGATAACGGATAACGGATATCCGATTTCAAAATTTTCTATTATCCGGATCCGTATCCGAAATAACCGAATACTTAATTTCACTATCCGGATCCGGATCCGAACTACACGAATATCCGATTTTTACGGATCGGATAGGACCGGATACCGGATCGGATAGCGGATACCGGATAATAATTCCAGCCCTATTAATGATAGCTAAAGCTATATTATTTTCAAGGCATCCACATCAGTATTTAAAAATTCATTTTTATTCATATATATTAAAATTATAAA